TTAATTATAGTGAATTAATTATAGTAAATTAAAACTCAAGCTGACATAGAAGGCTTTATTTAGCAAATTAATAAAAATATAACCTAAAAATACAATCATATTATTATACTTAAAAAACAAGCACTATAGTTTCGCGTCACGGTAAGGAAGGAGGCGTGAACTTCCTGGTTGAATGCAAATCCGCGGTGCTCTGAAACAAGACCTAGGGGCACCTAATTAACAAAAAAACAACAAAAAAAAAACAAACAAACAACTTATATCGCCAACTTATGTATTAAATCTCAATTTGTAAAACGCGTGTAACCAATTCTAACGTGTATTACACGTATAAAAAAACAAACGTTTCTGAATAAAAGTTTCTAATGAAATTAATTTAGACTAGCCGAAATGACGGTATTGGTTTTGGTAATATATTTTTTGAAATTTCGTTTTATTTTGGTTTCGGCTTTATTTCTATTTCGGTCGATCACTATTATGGATTGCTATAACCCAGTCTCTACTTCATGGACTTCATTTACTCCGATCTTCTTCTTTTAAAAACTGATTTTCCAAAAAAAACTTTATGAATTTTAAATCCACTTTAGTTTTTGCATCTTTTTGATTAACTAATGACACAACAGCTGGTTGAAATAGTTTAATTTTTAAAAAAAAATCAGTATGTGAAATAATTTTCTAACAATTTATACAACTTTATTTTCCTGGAAAATTTCCGATTATTTGTTTTTTCTGCCTACAAGTATGCGCACGCAAGTTTTATTTTAAGAGCGAGAATGTTAACATTTGCAAATCTATTCACAATATATTTACTTTATTTCTAAGACATTAAGTAAGTATATTGTGAATATGAAGTACATGGGCGGATCCAGCATTTTGTGGTGTTTGTGATAACCAACTTCCTGACATAGAGCAAACACCAAACATTTGAATGTTTATACTTATGTCAAATAAGGATGTTTTGCAAAAAAATGCGATGATTGGAGCCTGGGAACAAAAAAGCCCTAAAGTTTTGGTCACAACTAAAGGGGGGAGGGGGCTAAAGTCCCACGCCCCGTAGGGGCCCCTAAAAATTTTAGAGGACTTTATTTTTTTTTAGTCATTTATAGGCTCTGACCCATAAAAAGGCCTTCAAAAACAAAAATAGCCCCGGACGACCAAAAAGTCCTTATCCGCCACTGGTAGCGTCACAAAACGTGGTTTCAATTTTAAATGTGAAAAACATTGAGCGTAACGTGATTAGTGTTTTTATTGTTAAAAGATTGAAAATACCAAAGTCATAATAACAGATATATACCATAATCATAATAACATAATAACAATCTGTTATTATGACTATGAAAATACTAAACAAACAAAACAAAACGCGTCGATGACCAATGTTTTCCCCTATCCAAGATGGTAGCACGCTTTCTGGCGTTATAGTAATCCAAGGGGTTTCTAAGTCGATTTACTTAGCTTTGTGAGGAAAAGTTAAACAACAGTATAATGCCTCATTTTAGTAACCTTTAGTGAAACAAAGTTATTAGTGAAAAATACACAGATAAAATCTAAAAAAATAGACATAAAACAAAATTTGGGTATTACTTAAATAACATAAAACATAAAAAGGATCTTTTACAATCATAAAGCAGTCACAAAATCTTACAAATCTTAAACAAGATAAGCTTATTTGGTTGTTGTCTTGTTTTTTTGTTCCAATTATAGTCTTCTTTAGGCGTTTAATTCACACTCATGCATATCGAGCAAATCTCATATTAAAATAAATGCTATATATTTTTCAATGAGTTTGGTAGAATGAAAATATTCTAATATATAAGACTCTTATATATTATTAAGAGGGTTTATCTAACTAAGTATTGTCTAACTTTGGTATTGTATAATTTTTATATAAATAGATCTAATGATACTAGAATTCGATTAACAGTATATTATATATTCTGAAATATCAATGTCAATAAGATTAAATTCTAATTATTATATTATATCAATTTAACTTTAATCTTATTAGCATAATATTTCTTGCAAAAAGAAAACCAGAAATATGTTTAGGCTATATAATATCTAAATCTTAAAAATTATAAACTAATATTTACATCTTGAAAGTTGTCATTTAAAGTAACATGCTACTACCATTATTGTGCTTGTTCCATTTTAATAAAAATATTGAATTTAATGAACTTGAATCTAACACCTGACCATATTTTGATCCTATGATTGAGTTACAGAAATCTTTTTAACTTTTAAACTTATTAACAATTGTCACAACCATTTTTACCAGAAATGCATGCAAAAAGTAACTCTGAGAATACTTTGTAGATAAGCTTGAGAATATTTGTATAATTTAAATAATTATTTTTAAAAAAATTTTCTTTTAGAGTTTATAGTTTATTGGCTAGTTTTTTTTTACTTTTCGCTGCTGCAGTTAATTCCCAACCAAAAGTTTTTTGTTAATACATTTACATATAATCTGTGATTTAACTATGGAGTACTAAATTATTAAACAACAAGCATGCGGAGAGTAGAAAGGTTCAAAGCAAACTTTTTTATTTCATCTGAGTATGGTTGACCTTTTAGCTTTGTTTTTTGGTTATTGAATTGATTTTCAAAAATTATTTTTTGACATTATTTTCTTTTAAATCTTTGATTGGTTAGTGACACTACTGTTGAAGAAGCATAATTATTAACCAAAATTAATGAAGTAGCAGACATAGGCTCTAACAAAAAAATAAGTAGGACCATCAAAAACTGAAAAATCTACTCTGTCATCAATTTTAAGTTTTAAACTATTTATCAACTTCAATGTGAGTTTGATTGAGTAAACTTCGCACATTGTGAAATGTGTGAAGTTTGTGAAATTTGATTGAGTAAACTTCACACATTGTGAAATGCAATTGTCCATTTTTTGCATTTTTCTTGTTTACAAACTGGAAATTTATGGAAAAATAGAATAACCATACACAACACAGAATTTTCCCATTTTGATATTGAAAATTTGAAATTATCATTTAGTTGAATAAATTTTTTGCCCTTATTAGAAATGGCTTTCACAACATTATATCATAGCAACACGGCTTAACATTTTTACCAGATTAATATTTTGACATTTAGTATTTATAATATAATATATCAGCTTCCAACCATCTTCAAAGGCCAAAATTTACCTATTATCTTTAATATCTCTAACTGTTTCTTAAGATTCATTAATAAATCTAATATTTCATTATTAAATATAATACTGTTTCTTAACATTCATTATTAAATTTTATTATAAAAGTTTTTACAAAAGTTCTTATAAAAGGCAGTTAGTAGTCTAGCATTTGGTTATATAAATTTTAGATTTAACAAATTACTCAAAAGATCTAAAATTAACCTTAAACACTGTGAACCTATAGAAAATAATGTTTATGAGTTACAATTTTTTTCATTCAGGATTCAAATTCTTCAAATAACATAAAATTTCTTCTAATATCAATCATGCCTTGATTTTAGAAGTTCTGGAAATGTTATTTGGCACCATAGTGATAAGTTTTATATTGTCACTAATCTTCATTAAAAAAACATGGAATCCTTTTTGAATAAACTTGTAATTGCAAATGAAGTTTTCCTAATGAAAAAAAACATCAATAGAATGGTTAAATCTCTTTTGTTACTCATAAGGTTACTTTTTAGTTCATTAAAATGTTAATAAAGCCACATAATAGCATGCCTTGTTTGTGGTTTACAAAGTAAAAAGAAACTTTTAGGAGCATTCCTCCTAAAATAAAATAAATTATGGTGAGGCAAATTTTTTAGATGATCCAGGATGCCAAAAAATGATATTTGAAAAAGATATAAAATATCCAGAAATAATTATGAACAAGTCTAAATCAGCAGTTTAATGCTAATTTTTACTTCTTGTATAATGTTTTCTGCAGGAGAACTTCTACTAGTTTATGTTATTTACAAAACACAGAAAATGTAAACTGGTGGACTGAAATTAGTCCTAAATCTACCTGCTATAACATTCTAGAGGAAAAAAGGCAAAGACAGTTCGAAAAAGACAAATTTCCAGGCCTACTAAAACAACTAATTGTAAGTGTCAATGCTACTGACAATATAAAGTCTGTCTTCAGAAAATCTGGAATTAACCTTATAGACCTTGAAATAGTTCTAAATTGTATTTAACACTGTGTTGAAAATGATGAATTAGTCAACACATCAGTTGCTAATATGATTCTATTTCATCTATAACAGTTGAATCAGCAAAGAGGATGATATAATGCAGAGACAAAAAAAGGGGCGTCTAGATGTTCAGCTCAAAAAAAGTGTTGTTTTATCTTCTGATGATAAAGATGTATATACCGGTATCTATGATTTTACCAGCAGCATACAGAATATACTGGTAGTTTTACATCTGCCACAACATAATTTTGCTGAGAATCTGTCAGACCAATATCAGTAGAGCGTCTAAATATATAAGCAACATTTCCGATTCATATAAAGAACCCGTACCAGTAACTACAAATGCACATTTTCTATCATTTTTTAAAATGTAACATAGTATTGTCTAACTTTGGTATTGTATAATTTTTATATAAATATGCATTAGTAAATGTTTGGGTAACTTTGTCCACAAACTTATTTTTTAAAATAGTAAAAAATTAGAAGAAATAATCTTTGCTATAGTCATTTTAATGCTATAGTCACTGAGTTAAACCATTACATTCAGAAATGTAATTACTTGCCTTGTCAGAATATGCAATGCTTAAAAAAACTTAAAAAAAAACAATAGTTACCCTGCAATGCTTAAAAAAACTTAAAAAAAAACAATAGTTACCCTGTTTTATGGTATTAGATTTATAATATAATAGAACTTTATTTATGAGATTTATATTTTATTATTTTCATATAGCTTAGATTTTAGAATTTAGAATTTTGTTATTATTATTGTGAAAGAAAAAATTACATGTTAATTGTGTAGTTAATGTTAGATTTTGTAATGAAAAATATGAATTTATTTATAGAAGATTTTAACAATAATTCATTGCATAAAGAGACTGACTTCAATATTCAAAATAGTATAATTCAGCAACAATCAGAAAACCAGTGGTTTAAAAATGGTGTAGAAACAATAAAAAAGAAATTAAGAGTAAAGAAAATAAATAAAAAAGCTAAAAATGTCATTTTATTTATTGGTGATGGTATGGGACCTTCAACAGTAACAGCTGCTCGTATACTTGATGGGCAAAAGAAAAAAAAGAAAGGTAATGTTAATAATTACTGTAATCTGTTTGCCACCAAAATATATTTTTATTAAATACTAGTCCAATTACTAATTAGCTTAAATCATAGTAAAGAATCATAAATATTTGTTTTCGATATTTCTAGTTTGTCTGTATGTCCTAGATAATCTAGTAATATCTAACATTATACTTTAATTGAACATTTTTTATCACATTTACTTGAAAAGTGTATAAAAGTAAATAAGTTATAATAATAATAAGTTTTTTTTTCTATTTTTTTCTATTTTTTCTATTTTTTTTCTATTTTTTTTTCTAACACTAAGTAACACTAAAAATAATTAACAAACTAATTATAAGATAATTAATAAACAAAATGTATGTGTATGTTATCTGCATAACAAAAAAATAATTAAGTTGAAAAACAGTAACAAAGGACTTCTATTTTCTGAGTTTTATTTATTTATGATTTCAATAATTTTACATTCTATTTTTATATTATAAATTTAAATATGAATTTCTATTCATAAACTTTCCAGCAAAGACATATTTTTTTTGTAAGCTGACCTATTTTAATGAGTCATCCTTCTCAACTACTTAACTTTTTAACTAGCTCTGTTTCTTAAAAATATCAAAACCACAGTTAATCCAACCATTTCAGTGTGCATTTTATTTTGAAACAAAATATAAAAATACAACAAATCTATGTAAACAATAAATATAAGATTACGTTTTTATATAACTTTTTCTAATAAATTTAGTTTTGTTAAGCCAAAATTTTGGTATTTATTTAAATAAAATGTTTTCAAAAGTTTTGATATTGAACTTGTATGCTCAATATTTCTGTATATTTTGGTTTCAGCATATTTTTTATTTTAGTCAATCACCAATGGTTCTACTGCTACATCAATTGCAATTGCTTTTTTATCCTCATTCTCTTTTAATTATCTTTTATAAAGCTTTCAATTAACTACCAATAAATTGTGTTAATTTGAATTTTAGATGACATGAAACAAATAATTGTGGATAACTGAAAAGATTGTGAAGGTTTCTCTCTTCCCTCTTTAAGTTGAACATGATTCCACCAAAGAAATGCAGCAAAAGCTATTTTACAATGCACCACAATAATTTCTAACTTTCTTTTTCGCAAAATTAATTTTTTTTTTCACGGATTTTTTTTGTTTTGTTACTCCTTTTTGTTTAAATCTTTTAAATTTTATTTTGTATTTGTTATAGGTGAAGAAAATGTTCTAAGCTGGGAAGAGTTTGATAATGTTGCTCTATCAAAAACTTACAATGTTGATGCTCAAGTTCCTGATTCTGCGGGCACTGCAACAGCATTCATGTCAGGAGTAAAAACAAATATGGGTAAATCTTTTACAACTAACATTTTACTAAGTTAGATTAAAAATTTACATAAAAGAGGACTTATTTTTCCCAATTTATAACTGGTAGGTTTTTCTGTTTGATTTAATTTAAGAGCTAATTTATGTAGCTGATCTACAAGTAAACATATATTGGCAAGACACATAACCACAAATCTTTCATTTAAATACCAATTGTGTTTTTTAAGTGACTTCAGTACGTCTTCTGCTGGTTTAAGACAGAATTCAGAATGTTTTATAATTTCATTAATAGCTTTTAGATATAAAGAAGGTGCTATGGCAGGGATAGGAGCTTTAATAAACCATGGAACATAAAATAGTGCTGTTAATGAAGCAATTTTACGAATCAGCTTTCCTTCTTGCAATGATATTATATTAGGATATAAAATACTGAATTGTGGCTGAAGAAGGTTGTATGTTAAATAATAAACTTCTTGTGCCATAAACATGGCATGGTGCGAAGTCATTTGAAATCTAAACTGAAAATGTTTTACTTTGCCACCTAACCAAAGAACTGCTATTTGTATAAAATACTTGTAGTCATTTCTTGGAAAAATATCATCATCAAGGCAATTTAGAAGGAATGTTAATGATTCAGAAACCTAAATTTAAAAAAAAAAAAAGTTGAGCTAGAATTGCACTCAGTGTAGTAAAACTTATTCCATATTGTGATGCTGTTGGAGCTAAAGCTTTTCCTATATTTTTTGAAACAATAAGAGGAACATCATTAGATTTTTTAATTTTTCTAGAAGGCTGTAGGTACTGTTCATCTTGATCATTATCTAAAGTATTTATAATTTTTGTTATGTTTTTTTAATTTTTAAAATTTTTTTAGTTTCCAGCTCTTTCTGTTTTCTCATTGACTCTTTTGTTCTTTGAATTTTTTTTTCCATTTCTCTTTTTGTTTTGTTTTTTCCAATTTTTTGTGAAATTTTATCTGTACCTAATATTTTCTGAACACGCACTCCTTTCTGATTGTTTAGAAAATCTCTATCTTCTTTTGTAGTTTTTAAACCTTTAGTTTTAGCTTTCATAATAATATCCTCACAATTGTTTTGACTTACATCAAATACCTCTAACATTCTTGAAAAATTTTCTCTTTTTAAAACTAAAGTTGAACTTAAATGGTTCCTAGTTTGTTTAAATCTTTTCTCTTCTTTTTTTTAAGCCAACAATCTTGGCTCTAAAACAAAATTAAAATTAATGTAAAAAACTAAAAGAATGCATTAAAATTAATGTAAAATTTATTATAAATATGACTTTATAGTTGTTACTTATGACTTTTATATTTGTTACTTTAAAATTATTATGTAATTTTATATTTATGACTTTATAATTGTTACTTATATGAAATTATTTGAAATAAGATTAAACTGAAAATTTAAAATCATTTTAATATAATAAAAACCTGACAAGAGGACATGAAACCAAACTAACTGAAAAAATATTTGGAAAATTAGCATAAAATCTCTCTAATGGTAATATTGCAACACACAGTTTTTTATTTGGCAATTGTGTGACAGGTATTGTTCCAATTCTTTTTCCAACAAGAAAAACTTCATGATGAGATATTTTTCCCAAACTATTGCTTGTTGACATTATTTTTATTTACACTAAAATGAAAAGTTTGAAAGTTACAGATTTTTTTTAACTTAACTCCTCCCCCCTACCTCATATATAAGCAGCATGTATTTAAATTGGTAGGGCTGACCATTTCCATTATCTTTTGCAATAAAACAAACCATAATCTTAAAATTAGATACATCAGGCTACAAAAATAACCTTTAAGATATCTTCATAATATTTGTATGTGACCCTGCCCCCCTTATTATTTACAAATATTAGAAATTAAAAAAAAAAAAAAACTTATATCTTATTAATACCGAAGAATCCATTCAGAACTCTGTATCGTTGATTTTTCTCAGTTTTTCGGAGTTTTGGAGTTCGAAAAAAATCAAGAAACTTTGACGAAACTGCAACATAATTTATGAAAAATATCATTTTTTTACTGGTAAAATAACTAAATTATTTTTTTTCCAAGTTGCTTTTACAATAATTTTAAGCTGTTGTTTTGAAATTATATGCTCTTTAGATATATATTTTTTCAACAACCAAATGGGACGTCACAATTGGCAAAAAACTTTATTATATTAAAAATTTAATTTTAAAAACAAAATTAAAAAATAAAAGTATAAAGTTAATTTATCCAATAGTTAAAGTGTGTTTACATTAGTGTACTTATACTAAATTTATATTTACATAAGCTAATTCAATGCTAAGTTATTTAATTTAATTTAATTAAAAGCAAATATCTGAGGTTTAACAGGTGACAAACGGTGTAGAAATAGAGGTCGAAGATACTATAATTTAAATGTTCACCACGACTTCACATATTGCTTATGAAAGGTAAAATTTCCATCATGGAGATGGCAATTTCACCTCTCTTAAACAGTACTTAATTTACTCTGCTGAAACATGTGAGCATTTTTTATTATGGAAAAGTTAAAAGAATTTGGCTTAGATAGTGAGGATTTTGCAATTAAAACTACGGATGGTTGTAGGTGGATGCTGAAATTAGGTACCATAATTATGTTTCTGCATCAGATTTGTTAGAATTATTTAATTCATTTTATTTTTTTTTTTTTTTTGATATATGTTAAAAAAAATTGTCAGAAAATTGTGGGTCGCAAAGAAACTGAATCGGATATTAAAGCAGAAGCAGTAACTGATTTAGAGAGTGATGGAGAATTGCTTATTAAATATTTGGAGGAAAAGATTGAATATGAAGTAAATATTGAAAAATTTTTAAAGAAACTTCGAATACAAATTAAGTTCTTGAAATATTCATTGTTTCGATATGAAGTTCTCAAAGAAACATACACGAAATTTACAGATCTTTGCATGACAAAGGACTGCTGGTCGACAACCGCAGTAGATGGAACAGTGTTTTTGAGACAATATAAAGATTTTTGTTTACAGCTAGAAGGTGTCAAAAAATACACTCAAGGAACAAAACGGCCTTAACATGTTAAATGACATTGACTTATATTAGTTGAAATCGCTGTCTGATTTATTGAAAGTCATTGTTGCATTTCACTTGGAAAAACAAATTACAACAGTTTTGGAGTGTGACATTGTTATGGAAACATTAATTAGAAAATTGATGATTGTAGAAACTGATATTAGTTTTAAATTTGCAGAGGCATTAATCTCCAATCGTAAAAACATATGTTGGTATCCGATTTAAAATAAAAATAAAAACCACACACTTTTTTACGCTTCAAAAAAAGAGATCAAGTTTCTGCTGTAAAATTATTTGATCAAACATTTGCAACAAATGAAAATCTTAGAGTCTCTGAGCAAAATTAGATAATTGCGCTAAAGGCAAACAAGAAGAACCGAAGTTCAAGTAGCTCTGAATCAAAATAAATTAACAGCTAAAAAACCAAAAAATTGCCCTCCACAGAATTCAAGCCATTTATTAGATAAAACCTGTTCATTAAAAAATTGTGATGGAATAAATACTTAAGTACTAATAAATAAAAAAGTATGTCTTTTTTTAAATTTATAATGAATAACAAATTAAAATATATAATATTAAAAAAGTAACAATACAAGATATATATTTTTAGAATAAATACTTAAGATGATTACAATTCCTGTAAATCTGGATCCTGCCGAAATTCAAAATTTCCAATCCGGTAAACCCCTAGTTTTATTAGATCTTGTTATTTTTTATTTCCTATTTTTAAAGTATAAAGGATTTTGTTCAAGTTTAATTTTATGCTCCATAAAGAAAACTTATAAAAGAATTATAAAAGAACTACTTTGTGTTTAGGTGGGTTAATTTAGTTAACTAAGCCAGTATACCAGTGTCAATAATGACCTGATCACTAAATATAGACCTTTTTTAAATGTAGTGCTACTTGCTCAAACTTTAATTTCCAGCCATATACTGAAGCCCATACCTATCCTAATTTTGGTATGACATCGTTTGTATAATATATCTTTTTTTAAAGTTGTTTTTGTTTGCTTGTGAAAAATTGTTCCTTATATTATTAATTTCATTTTTTATGTCATAGTGTATATTGTCGTGTTTGATTAGTCATTAATAATCAATTCAATAATTGGTTAACAGAAAGTTATTTTATTTATATATCAATTCATGATGTGTTTTTAATTAGTTAAAATCTTTCAAAATTGTGTGTACCTCTTAATAAATCATTTCGTACTTAGTTGTAATTACATAATTCGAACACGTGAAATTTAAACTTTTTAATATATAGAAATCTAAGTATATTTACTCAATACATTTTTCTTTTTAAATGTAATATGAAAATTGATTAAAAATTAATTGCTATAATTGTTTTGGGTTTGGTTTGGCCAATGTGATAAAAAAAAATATTAAAAAATTTTCAATTTTTGTTCATAAAATCTGGGAGCGGAGCCATGGTCAACATTTTTTAGAAGCAGTAAAAAAAATTCTTTTTATAAGTAAATTGAAGCATACATCGATGTTGCCAGCATTCTCCTGGTTAGTCTTGGATTCTGGAGCAAAATTGAATTTTTAGATGTTGATTGCTTGGAAATATCCATAATCATGTATCTTTTTACTTCATCTGCTGTATTGTACACTGAGCTATATCTATTGTCAGATGTAGCTGACAACTGGCAGCTTGCAATAATAATGCATAAAAGAATTGAAACACAGTTCAAATGTAAACCTTAAAAATTTAAATTGTTATATTCATATACAACAAAACATATAAAATATTACGCTCTTTGATGGATAGGTATTTTAAAGCATCAGCGTGGGATTCAAGCTCATATTTGGCAAAATCTAGGTATCTTTACGTCAGCAAGTTTATTTTCTGAGCACAACGACAGTACTTTGGTAGAATGATATCATCATTGCAACTTTCTAGAAATCTCCTCCAGAAGAAAAGACAACTAGTTGAACAGTTCAGGATCCACCTTCACTCTCTTGTTTTTTCTACTCAACTAAACCAAACCAGTTGATGGAACTAACATATTTTGAATCATTGTATGTAATCAACCTGAGGGTAAAAAAAAATTACAATTGACTACAACACTTTTAACTTTGCAAAATATTTTCTGGAATAAGAAACAGTTTTTTATTGACACTTTTTTAAATAAATTAATTCTACACACTCAACCATTTATACTAAACTCCTAATACAAATAGGATTTGATGCCTTCAAAGAGCATCCCAGAATAGGCTTCTTTCAACATCTTAACACTTGACTTCTTGAAATTATATTTGAGAATAAAAACTACAAATAAAAGAACCTTAACGTTGAACAAAAATATTTTGAAAAACTAGAAAGTAAAAAGTAACAAGAATGAGCACTATTTTACATGAAAAAATTTCAAATGTAAAGAACATTGAATACATTAAAATATTTATAATTTTTCACTATATGAAATTAGCAGTTTTTTTTTTTTTAAAGTTGTTCAACTTTAAATAAAGATTACTTTGATGAGATGATAAAAAAGTCATGAATGTATGCAGAATATAAATAATACATTGAGTTAGTTGCAGATATTTTAAATAAAGCACTAATGTACTTTATATAATAACTGGTAGTAATACAATAGACACTAAAAGTGTCAATTGTATTATGTATTATCACCAGCTCTGGTAATAATAAAATAGACAATTATTAGTTTTTATATTGTGACAATGTTATTAATTATTACAATAATATTTTTTATTAACATAATTATGAAGTTATTGCAATATTTAAAAATTTTAAAGTAGTATTAATGACAATTTCGAATATTTATTAAGATGATAAAATGTTGTTTGTAGGTACCATTAATGTGAATGAGAATGTTACATATAAAGATTGTGCATCATCTATTGGTAATGAAGTTTTGTCACTGGCACAGTATGCAGAGTTAGCTGGATTATCAACTGGTGTAGTTACTACAACACGTCTAACACATGCAACTCCAGCTACAGTTTATGCAAGTTCTGCCTCTAGAAATTGGGAACATGACAAAACTGTTAACGATTCTCGATGCAAAGATATAGGCATGTGTTTTAAAAATTGATTTAATAGCAATGTGTGTGTTTAAAAAAATTTAAAAAAAGAAACTTTTTTTTTTAAGTCATTTTTTTTCATTACAAATTATTGGTATTTGTAATTGTAGTTTAATAGATCAACAAAAATGTTTAAGCTTTTGATAAAAAACAAAAATTTTTGTTTTTAAATTAAATTTTTTTTTTTAATTAAAAAAAAATTAAAAATTAAAAAAAGCTTTAAAAGCTTCCTACAACCAGGCTTATATTTTGTAGCAAAGACTATGTTTGAACATAACATAACATTTAAAACTAAAACTGAACATAAAGCTAAAACTACTTTAACCACCAAGTCTAATGTTTTCATTTTAATAATGATATTGAACGGTGACTTTGGGCAAAATCTCAAGTCTTCATCTATATGGTCTTTATAATCTTATGGTAAACTACTTTTTTTTAAAATGAACTTATGATTTATTTATTTAATTTTAATTTTAGCATTATATTTGTATAATTAATTTTACCTAATTCACTAATTGTGCTTATTTACTTTTAACAATAAGCAGTAACTTACCTTCATAAAATCTTTTTTAAAAGCAAGGTTAAGGTTGAGCAATCTTTAGACTGTTTACAAAGTTTGTATGGAACAGACAAATAAATCAATCAAAATAAAGATCAAAATAGGCCAAAAAGTAAAAATAAAAATAAGTCAAAACAAAGTCTTTTTTTTATTTTTTTTATTCTAACCAAGCAAGTAACCAAGCAACCACTATTTACTTGCTAACATTAATAAGCAGGGGTGTGAAGTTGTAAAAAAAAAGTATCAACTTCAATTCCAACTCCAATCATTGAAATTTTCAGAGTACGACTCCTACTCCAACTCCAACTCTGACTCCAAAGCAAAATTTTTGAAAAAGTCTTTGATTTCTTTAAAAAGTATTACTCGATAGTTAAAAAAATTTGTTTTTGCCAAATGTATGAAAAATTCTTTGAAGGTTAAATATTTTGTATATTCACAAGCAATAGCGAGAAGTTTTATTATTGAAGTCGGAGTCACGATTTTATTTAGCAACTCCAACGCTAAAAATGCCACAAATCTAACTCCATGACTTTGACTCTGACTCCACAGCCCTGATAATAAGACCAATTAGACAGTAGTTAGTGAGATCTAGTAGTTACTGGGAGCAAGTATTGTATTATTAATAGCAGTATTGGGATCAGAGCGGCCTCTAGAATTTTTTTAAAAATAGAACCACAAATTCTGTTTTCCAGCAGGCAAGGAGGAAGTTAAGCAATTGTTCAACAGTTTAAAAAGGGTATTGATGAGAGCTCTTTTGTTAGACTTCATAACACTGTTGTAAAACTGTGATAGAAATGTTCTTTGAACCATAAGCTGTGAAAAGTTTAACTAAGAAATAACTTTAGCAATGGAAGTTGATTTAGATATCTAATGGTGGATTAAGTTTAATAAAGCAAGCAAAGCCATAAAATCAACACAGTAAAATATTCGACCATTAAAGAATTGCATTTTAAAAACTTTCGACTCATTAAGTTTGAAAAAAATTTGAAAATAGGTGTGGAAAAGCATGGAAATGCTATAAATGCCTGAAAGAAAAACATTTCAAAAAACGAAAATGTATTTAAACTTTCACAAGCATAAAAAAAGACGATTTACTTATGAAGTAGAAGATGAAGTAGAAGTTTTATAATAACAAAAATCTTTTCAAGAACTGAGTGATAAAAGAAGGAGAGAACAAAAAAAACTTACTAACAATGTAAATAACTTAATAATCAGTACCTAGAATTAAATGTTAACAAACTGGGGTACTTCTTATATAGAATTGATCAATCATATAAAAATGCTCATGTCAATCATGCTCATGTCAAAATATTATGAGTATTGCTCAATTCGCCATACATGGAAATGATAGATACCTTTGACATAAAGGAATCTATAGCTTTAATGTATCCCTTACACTAAGTAAGAAAATTGGAGCAAATAATAAGCAAATGAGAAAGATTTCTGAATACAGTTAAACAAAAAGTACACAAAAAAATTTGTTCTTGTAGATGGTGATGAGTATAAAATGTTTTCTAAGTTGTGATTTAAAAAAAAATTAAATTTTACCCTAAAAGATCTACACACTCCTATGTACAAAGATAGCATGTTATTATTAGATTCTCAAATCAGTATAATTTTTCATATAGTTTTTTGTCTAATGTAAAATTAAAATTGATGTATTTGAAGATTTATGTTAATTATGTTATAATGCTACACTTAATATCATTACAAATATTCTATAACACTCTGCACATATTTTTTCACCAGCTAAATTAATCATTCTTAATTATGGTTATTACCTTGGCTATTTATCTGCCTGTAACTATTGAAATCTTCGCAAATCAAAGGATAATAACCATCAACATTGAGATCCAGAGATGGAACAATCAAATTTAAATTAGTCTCACAAAGAGTAAGTAGGTCTGGTAGATTTTTCAAAAGAACTGAGATAAAAAGGCTGAGATGAAATAATACTATTTTTTTTTAAAAAGTTAAATATTTGTAAAAGGTTGATTGAAACAATATAGTTGTAGTATGGTTTCTATGGTTAATTTTTCTAAGTATTATAGTAATGCTTTAAACTTTTAAAGAACTTAACTCAATTGTAGATAGTTTAAGATATCTTAAAAAATAACTTATGCAGTTCTTTTAGCCCTGCTAACCAATCCAAAGTTGTAACAAAGGGCTTATTATGTAGCCTCAAAAATGCACTCCAAAAGCCTTAACAAGGACACCACCTATGTGCAACATGGCACTGGTAATATAGGGCTGCCATACGTCCAGTACACCGGGATATGTCCCTGTTTAAAAACCCGTGTCCCAGTGTCCCTGTCAAAGGGTAATTTTTCCCGGTCAATTTAAAACTATTAGCCATATTAAAAAGTTAACCTTGGTAATACATGCATTGGAAACACTTTTTACATTTTTTTTTGTAGGTGTTTATGTATTTTTCTAACTTCTGTTAAATTTAATTTTGATTACAATTATTCAAATAACGCAAAAGCGCAAAACTTGTTTTCATAACCCTTCAGAAGATATTACCAACACCGGGACGATTCTCCCCATCCCCCACCCCCACAAGCAAACAAAAAATTAAAAAAACTTTCTATATTTTCAGCATTATTATTTTATTAACATCTATAGTATAGCTATATAGGTATTGGTATTATTACTATCATTATAACTGTTATTATAAAGGCATTATAATCTCTGGATCTCAATATTATAAAACAAGCATATTCCTGATGGTACATTCAGGCCCGTCATTACACATGTCCATCACAGGCAGCTGCTGCGAGACCATGGCATTTGGAGAGGCAAGCCGGAAAGAAATCAATTTTTTTTTTGATTTAACTTTACAAACTTCACTTTTAAACTTTAAACAGAAAAAAGATAAGCTGGGCTGTTTTAATCTGAAGTACAAATACAAAAAGATTCAACAAAGTAAATAGAATGACTCAAGCAGTTAAAGTTTTTTTAAAGTGGAATGAGCTGTATAGATCTCTTTCTTTTTTCGTTCGAAAAGGTTTAATTTTCCTCAAATTTGAATTGAACTTATGCTATTGGTGAGCACCAACAAACACTTTGCTGCTGTGACGGATCCAAGATTTTTTAATCATCTAAATCATAGATACGTCACTGCTCTGCTGAGCTTACAAATACCAATATGACGTTTTAATGTCATATGAGGCATCAGACTTCACTGGGGGAGAAAAATTATTGAGGTTAATAAATTGCTTGAAAGGCAAAGGTAAGTTAATGCTTTACTAATCAGAAAAACAGATTTTTTTTTCTCTTGGTGTTGAAAAAAAGGGGAGAAAGTAAGAGTTTGTAGAGCCTGCAACTGTTATTTCACTATGGGGCTAGGATTAACTAAAGACAGGCCTTTAGTTCAACCCCAAAAAAACTTAGCAAATATTGTAATAATTGTTAAGTTTATTTACACGTTTTTTTCGTGAGGGGAGGGGGAGGAAGGAGGAGGGTTTTTTTTTACCGGGCGGTAGTCCAATAATTATGGCAGCCCTATGGTAATACTCTGATATTTTAAACTGCTGCCTGCTGTGATAAACCATTGAGTGATTTTTCAATATTTTATTGAACTGAATAAATTTTTTAACATATATTAAATTAAAAGTAATAGTTGAATATGATTTCCTTTTTTTAAAGCACCCATTTTACTCATCTATTTGATACTTCTTGCTTCCCCTGCCTGAAGTCTGTGTGATGACAGTTTTATGTAAATTAAAATCCAAACAAAAAAAATCAAAGTAGTTTATCCAAATATGCTAAACGCGCGTATAAGTATGAAAACAATCAATATACTTATTTTAAAAATTATGATTCTTTTTTCCATATAAAAAAATAAACTTCATTAAAATTAACTAAATTAATTGACTTTTAAAAAACTAGCAAGAGTATGTGTGCAAAGTATGTAGAAAATCTATCATCAGGAAGTGACTCAAAAATTGATTGCAAGATTTAATGCTCACAGACAAACAAGCAGACAGAGACAACGAGTTGATAAAAGCATTGGAATAAAAAATTGTTAAAAAATGTTTTGTTTGAAATTCTAAAGTGCCTATGATAACTGTATTTGGAATTATTAATATTTTAAATTAATTATATTTTGAATTATATCCAATTAAGTTACTACCATAATAGCTTTTCCGAACAACTATGGAAACATCAAAATACAACATAATATAATAAAATTTTTTGGATAACCTTTACTGTCATTGAATAGTTTTTAGTTCATTAATTTCTTTTCTTTATAGCAAGCCAACTGATTGATAACAAGTATGGAGATGGTCTTGAAATTGCTTTTGGGGGAGGACGCTGTTCTTTCCTTCCTGTAACAACTAAAGATCATACAGCAACTTCATATGGCTTAAGAGGAGATGGTAGAAATCTTCTTGAAGAATGGGAGAAAAAAACGAATCAAAATGCAAAATATGAATATGTGACAAACGCTTCTCAATTAAAAAGTTTAAAACCAAATGAAGTTGATCATTTGCTCGGTAAGTTTTTTATTTTCCCAATTATTAATCTTTTTTTTGAGTGTCTGTTTTTCATTTTTAAAGAACACCACATTTTTGCATTATTTTGTTTGTTTCTTTTTTCAATTAACTTTTTTTTTATATTTGTTATTTCTCACAATTTCCTTTAACCAATTTTGAGTTTTATAATTTGACCAAGGCCTTTTGTATCCATCATAGGACTTATTCAATTATTCAACATATTACAATGTGTAGACTTGTTCATAAGACTTTTTGTGATGTGTAGACTTGTTATATTTTCAATGTGTTGATTTCCAGCAAAATCACTAAATTTATGTTAATTAAATATTTATGGTTTTCAAAGTTCCTAAAGGTGGATTTAGTACCTTTTACTCCAAATATGAGGAAATTTTTTTTTGTACTTTACATCAGACTTATAAATAATTTGAAATTTTATTTTAAAAATTGTCAATTTTATTACAGATGCAAAACTTTTACATGTATCAATAGGTCCGTATAAAAATAAAAAAATAAAAAATAGTTTTAGGTATATGGCTTGATTTGTTAAAGATTCAGTTTAAGCTCACTTTGTCCTGCTAACCAATTCAAAGTTGTAACAAAGGGCTCTTTATGTAGCCTCAAAAGCTGACTATAGAGCATGGGTAAAATAGTTTGAAAATAAACATCTATGATTTTCATTTTAAATATTTTAATTTGTCCTATTTTTAAACAAGCTGGTACATTTTTAATTACATTTTAATCACGTTTAATTACAACTTTAACTAACATAGTGATTAAAGCTGGTATATAAGTAGTATATATAATATAAGTGTATAAATAATATATATAATATAATTATATTATTATATATATATGTAATATATTATAATATATATGTTATAATATATATGTATAATATATATATTATAATATATATATATATATATATATATATATATATATATATATATATATATATATATATATATATATATGTATATATATATATATATATATATATATATATATATATATATATATATATATATATATATATATATATATATATATATATAATAATAAGTATATATATTTAAGTAGTCCAGTTTTTTCTTGATTTCACAAAATCTATATACTTAGACTTTCTGAAAATTTACTACTCATATAATATAGCAATCAACAGAACGCCAAAAATTAAAAGCTTAAATTTTAAAAGAACTCTGAAAATAACTTTTAACTTTTCATTTACAATTTAATACAGAAGAATTGTAAAGTGCTTGCTTTGTTAGCAAGACTTCAAACTCACTATATTCCTATTTAAGCAAGTTTATATATATATATATATATATATATATATATATATATATATATATATATATATATATATATATATATATATATATATATATATATATATTTATATTTATATATTTATATAAACTTGTTAATTGAAAAAAAGTTAATTGAAAAAAGACTTCAAACTCACTATATTCAAATGTAAGCAAGTTTATATATAAATATATATATATATATATATATATATATATATATATATATATATATATATATATATATATATATATATATATATATATATATATTAATGTAAATAAGAAACAAAACAGGACCAAGGATAGAATCTTGAGGTACCACAGAAGTTACTGGTAATAAAGAAGAGTGCTAGTCTTTGAGGATCACTTTTATAATAAAGTGGTTAGAAAGAAACAATTTGATAATCTCAAAAACATTCCCAGATACGCCATATAAAACAAGCTTAGAAAATTCTGGATAACAATTTTGTAAGACTATAACAGGGATGTTGTCTGGACCACAAGCTGTAGAAGAATTTAATTGAAATCAATTAATCAATCAATCATTTATTTCTGAATTAAGGTTTTATATTTAAGGATGTTTACAAATAGTAAATATACAAATATAAATTAAACACCTACTAATGTTAATAATATCTAATTAAAAAAAAAATTATAAAGCTAATTTTCACAATATATAATAACGATAATAAACTTTATAATATAAATTAACGATGTAATATAAATAACGATGTTATAGCAATAATAACAGTAACAATAATAACAATAATAATAATAATAATAACAATAATAACAACAATATTAGTATTAGTAATAATAAAAATTAAAAGTAGTTATCAGTAGTAAATATTAGTAATAATAACAAAATAAAAATAATCAATAAAAAATATAGAATAGAAATTGTAAAAAAAAAGATGGCCATTCCAAGATTCAAGAGTCAAATTAGAAGAAAAGTTCTTTGCAAATAGTTCTGCCTTATCCTTGAGACAGTACATACGTCTCATGCATATGTATACACCCGAGCCAAGCATGTGACTATTGGAGTCTTTGTGAATCTAAGGATAGTATCCATCAACTCTGAGATCTGAAGAAGGAATAGCAGAATTTAAATTAGTCTTGCAAAAAACAAGCAAATCTAGTCAGTTTTGTAAGAGATAAGTTTCAACTTATGGATGGTTGCTTCGCAGACCACGAATATTTGTATAAGATATATTAAAACACTTAGGTGATGGGGATGGTTTTTTTATGTTTAATATTTTGAGTTACTTTTGGCGTGATTAAAGTTTAAAGAGAACTTGACTCATTCATAGATAGAGCATGACCTCCTAAGCAATGAGGTATGCAATTGCCTCAGTCCTGTTAATTAGCCCTCAGTTGTAACATAGGGTTCCTTATGTGGCTTCAACAATATGCAACAAAAGCAATAACAGGGACACTGTTAATACTTTGATATTTTACAGCTGTTGATGGAATCAGTCTCTCTTAAAGCTACCACAGAGTTTAGGAAACCTTACTACCAGCCAGCCTCAAAATTATTAAACTGAGTTTTAAAGCTGTACCCTTATTAGGAGATAACAAAAAAAGTTGCATAAGCTTATGAGTAGAGTAAAGAAGACCCATCATTTATCACTCATGTTGGAAACAATGTAACAGGTTTACATCTACGCCAACCTAATAGATGTAGAAGGAGTTCAAGTCTGGGTAGCAGAATTACTCTGCTTACCCTTAAATTCTTTGCTTAGGAGGCCTCCTACTAGACAATAAAAAAAAAAGAAAAAAACAATCAGATGAAGGTGGTCTGGGTCTGGGAAACTCAGAATTAAAAAGCTCCAACTAATGCAGTAACACTAATACAATACTACCACATAAATGATTTTTTAAATTCCTATTTTCATATATTATTTATAGTAGTATTTTTATTTAAAGCTGCTAATGCATTTTTAATATCTTTTATAATTTAAATATATGTTAAAAAACTCATTTATTGCTTTTGTTTGCTTAAATATTAACACATTTTTTAAATTATATATAACACTACTTAACACCTTTGACAAATAAAAAAAATATTAAATTGATAACATAAATTCAATTAAATAAAATAAACATAAATGCAACAAATAAAATATTAAATTCTTAATTCTTATATACATATTTTTGAAAAATATAACAAACAAAAACAAACAAACAAACATTGTAAGACTAAACTACTACATAAAAAGAAATAAATAATCTTGATGGATTGCTTATTTCTTTGAGCATTTAAAGTATGATTTTAATTTGTCATGGTATTATGTACTAATATATTCACATTATCAAAATTAAAATTTTTTATAGGATAAGAATAGTTTCTATATTTAATGAATGTATCACATTTGCTAGGAAGTACAAAATGACAAAAAAAAATTAATTCCTATTCAATACACCTAGATTTATAATTAACTTATAGCTAATTTAATTTTTTATTAAAAATGTTAAGTTGATGTTTTTACATGTATTTGTGCTTTTAATGATTATATACTAAAAATATACAAGAAAGCATTACCAAACAATTAATGTAAGCGGTCTTCTCAAGGCTTTTGGTATTTTGCATCTAACTTGTGAATGGCGTTTATTCATGAAGAGTTTATTCTGTAGCTTTTTAGTCATGCTGCTCCAAAATGGAAACATTTAGCTGGTAATTTTGATAGCTCATTCTGTGCATCTTAAAGAGATGCACAATGACTTAGAAACTTGTTACAAAATTTTGCTGACTGCTTTGAAGCAAAACAACTTCAGAATAATACTTCAAAATAATGTTTTTTCTAATGGTCTTTAAGGTTAAACTAAGTTTCCTTATTTCTTTTGCAACTAAGGGACAGCTGCAAGCCAGGAGCACTATCACAGATTGGGTTGGCCACAGTGGAAAAAAGGTTTTCAAACCTCTGATAGAATCTCAGAAAATAGTTATGCCACCACTGTACATTAAGTAATATGTCATTGCTCTTTAAAAGAAGTTAGCATCTTTTAAAAACAAATATCTTTTTTGGAAGGGGTTTGAGGTTAAGGTTAGAGCTGTTACCATTGTCTGACCACAGATTTTTATGTGACAAGTTCACCAAGATTCTAAAAAGAACTGAGAGGGCAGCTTGGAACAGTTTTGCAGTTGTTCATGATTTCTTGGATTGAGCAAGAGGCTTAAAACTGTGAAAAGTGAAAAAACTCTCTTTGTCTATTCATTATGACTTATTACCAACATGCTTTGGTCTGCTGTTTCTCTCTAGAGAAAAATCAATAGTCAGAGTTATTTGAGTATTTATCTGATCAGGTAAAGTCTGTTGCTAACTAACAGCGCAGACATTGGTGACATTGGCTTTGTAGTGAGAAACAAAAAAAGCTTCAATTTTAAGTGCAGTGAACAGATTTATTGATAAACTAATTTTGAATCAAATCTTCTGATATTATTTATTATTGGTGGTATCTTCTGAGCAGCAATTAGTCTCTCTCTCAATATTTGGGATAAAGTCAGAAAATAGTGCAAATCCATTCAAATCTTTGCTCAAATACCACTTATGCCCTCTCATTTTTTTAATTGCAATGTCTGCTTCCTGTTCTTCAACAGCACATTAAGACTTTGTTGTTTTGAGTTGTTTTGGGATTTTCTGATTATTTTATCAGATCTATATCATCATTTTCTTCATATTCTGATTCTAAAATTTGTTTAACCAATCCAGTCTTATGTTGTTATATTTTTTTCACTTCAGTTACCTTTTTTTTTTTTGCAATTCTCTTCCCATTGCCATTTTCTTTAGCAATAGGTTTGCCTTTTTTATACTGTTAAAACATTGGTAATAAACCAAATTTTTAAAACCAATAGTGTTGGAACAGCTTTGTGAAGTTTCCATTTTGTTTGGCTTTAAGCAAAAAAAGAAGCAACATAGGACAAAAGCAACTATGGAGCAAACAGCTTTATCAAAAGTTTATCTTCAGCTTATAATTGTCGACCAATTAGCCACACATTAGTATCATATCTTGTTTTAATAACTTTTTCTTTGATATTTTATTTTGGTTCAGTTATCGTTAAATGTTATTTCAATTAAAAATGCAAATTATATATTCACATAAAAACACATTCGCATACAATCACTATTAAGTATATTCATTGGAAGTTAGATGAATTGGTTTTGTTTCCAATGAGTACATATATCCAATTAAAACAAGCACAGTTGTAAACAAAAGTAAAATGAACACTACTCAGTATGTTAATGTGTTATTTTATCACATTTAGTAGATGACAAAAGCAGAAAAGTAAAGTTAATTAACCTGTCACTAATTATTGGTATAAGGACATGAAATTTTAAAGGAGTTATTTTTAATATATATATTTATATATGTATGTAAATATTATAAGAAGTTCATGTTATCTTTTTTAGCAAAATCTTTTTTTGAGCAGGAGTTTTCAGCTATGATCACATGAACTATTCTCATTATCGATTAAATGGAACTGATGAGCCTTCATTAGTTGAAATGGTTGAGTTTGCTGTTAAAGTACTCAGTAAAAATTCAAAAGGATACTTTTTATTAGTTGAAGGTTGATATTTTAAGTGGAATATTCCTTATTCAATAAGCTTATAATAACTTTATTTAATGAATTATATAGTAAAATATAACATTGTTAATTTTAAACAGGTGGTCGAATTGATCACGGGCATCATGCAAACAAAGCATTTCATGCTCTTCATGATACAGTAGAATTAAATGATGCTGTTCATAAAGCAAAAGAGATTACTGATTCAGGTATTATATCTGAGATTTTAACCACATTAACTTACATTACTGTATAAAATTTGAGAATATTATAAGTTACTTTACTAGTTAGTTTCTTTACTAGCCAAAATATGTTTTTACTAAGTTGTTTTAAAATAAACAAACAGCTGTAAATGTATTTTTAGATGAGACTCTCCTTATAGTTACAGCTGATCACTCACATGTATTTACAATAGGAGGGTATCAAAGTCGTGGCAATCCCATTTTCGGTTTGGTCAACAATGAGAATGATGTTGCGCTTGACAAAAAACGATACTCAACTCTAGGCTATTCTAACGGACCTAGTGGTAAGATTAATGGAAAAAGAAAGAATATTACTCAAGCTGATCTTAATGATCCAGATTCTAGATATCAAAGCTTGGTACCTCTAAAAGATGAAACCCATGGAGGAGAAGATGTTGGTACGGTTTTTTTTCCTAATTTACTTATAAGTGATGTTTTTGAGCTATAGGCAAATTTTTATACTATCGGTGGCTTCATGTTCTTTGATTAATGTTTTTGAAAATAAATCAGTGTTTCTTTCACTTTCTAACTAAATTGTTTGTTTTTATGTTTTATTTAGTCATAGGGAATTTATTTTCAAGAAATAACTTTTTACAAGAAATTTCTTTTCAAGAAACTTTTGATGATTGATTTTGTGATTTTAAAAGCTGATATTAAAATCACAAAATCAAACAAAAATAATATTTTTATGTCTCCGAAGACTTGACCCAAGGACTGTTCCACGTACTACTTGTAATTTTTTACACCAGAAGTAGTTATTAGTAATTTTAGTAATAGTAGTTGCAGCAGCAGTTGTTGTAGCTTTGAAACTACTAAAATTAGTTGTTGGAGTGGTAGTTATTTTTATTATCTTTTGAACATGGTTCAGCTATTTGATTGAGGCAGAGATCACAGAAGTATTCAAACATATACATTTATATATTTTTTAACAAGTTCGCTCCCAAAAAAAGTGCAAGAAACCACTAATTAAATTGGAAGTTAAAGGAAACAAAGAAGGGAGTTAAAGAGCAAGAAAGCAATTCTTATTTGTGTTGGGAAAAAAAGAGAGAAGAGACTTCTTAAGATATTTAACTATTTTGAGAATTACAAACAGTAAAAGGATTTGCCTTTGCTAAATGACAAGTCATGCACGATAGAGTTTTGGTTAATGAAAGAAGTGATGATACTACTATGATAGTTGATGCTTACTTGGCATCAGCCATAGTAGTATTTAATGAAATAAACCTTGTTATGATAGAAAAGAGCTCAGGCGTGGCAGCCTAAGCAGGTCCAACAACATTTACAATGCGTTTTTGTAACTTGTCTAATGGAAATAGGGCATCATTTAAAGAATCAGCCCAAATATAACAAAAGTATTTTATTCAAAGACAAATATGTGATTTATTGAGATAGAGAATGGAATCAATAAAATAACTTCATAATGGATTGTATATAATTGGTTTACAGAGGTCAATAGTGAATGATAATTCTCGGCCTTGAGGAGGAGAATAAATATATATATATATATATATATATATATATATATATATATATATATATATATATATATATATATATATATATATAACTATATATATATATATATATATATATAACTATATATATACTATATATATATATATATATATATATATATATATATATATATATATATATAACTATATATAACTATATATATATATATATATATATATATATATATATATATATATATATATATATATATATATATATATATATATATATATATATATATATATATATATATATATATATGTATATATATATATATATATATAGTTATATATATATATATATATATATATATATATATATATATATATATATATATATATTATCGATATATATATATATTTATATTTTTAACATCTTTGCTTCCAAAAAGGCTGCAAGCAACCATTAATTAGAGTTGGAAGTTACTGGAAAGGATAAGACTTAGTTGAATGACAAGTAACACAAGAATGAATTTTAGTAGATGGCACAAGAGACGCTAACTCTTTAGAGCAGTGCCTATTTATAGAAAGTGAAGCAACATTATGACGATGTGATAATAGTTGGAGGTTGGCTGCAAGAGCAGATTCATCTATGTTTACAATCGATTTGTGCACCTTGTCTAAAAGAGGAAGGGCATCATTAGAAGATTCGCCCCAGATATGGCAGATACAAGGCCAGATTTGAGATTTATAGAGATAGAGAAAGTAAGAAAGTGTCGAGCTCGATAAAGAGATGCAACTGTAGTAGATGCTAATTTTGCAACAGGTTTGATATATGGTTTCCATATATATATATATATATATATATATATATATATATATATATATATATATATATATATATATATATATATATATATATATATATATATATATATATATATATATATCGATTTATATATATATATATATATATATATTGATATATGTCGATATATCAATATATTAACAAAATAGTGAAAATTATTAGCAGTAAAAAAGTTTAGTTTGAGATAAAATTCATCAGCCAATGCAAGCCCGACTCACAGTTTGTTAATTAAGTCTTTAAAGAACTTGTACTAAGAATGATAATTATATTATGATGATGTATATTTCTCAGACTAATAATTAGTCTGAGAAATATACAAAGTTTTTTAAAGTTGGAATCACAGTAAATACTATCCAGCGCACAGTGGGTCAGAAGCCGGCAAAACCATACAAAAAAGTTTTTAAATTTTGAAATTTTGAAAAAGGCAAATTTTGCTCAATATATTAATAAGCCAGAAATTATATTTTATTAAAAAATAATTTTTCAATAAAACGCCATATTTGTTGTTTAAATATTTTCTTAAATACTTTTTATCAATAACAACAAAAAAGTGTGAAAATTTTATTTTTTTACATCTTTTGAAAACTTTGATTTCTTATTTTAAAGAAGTTTAAGTTTATTTTTTAACTTATAAATGACTTATATAGTATTATGTTAATATTTAAATTACATAAAAAAAAAAATTTTTTGCATTTTGTATAAATATTTTCAACAATGCAAACATCAATAATTTTAAGTTATAAGTTTTTATTTTTTTCAAAAATATCATTTAAAACTATCGGATCAGTCTGTATCAACTTAAAATGATATATAATTGAATACCAATATGACATTGATCTTGTGGTATAAAAACTGGCGGCCTATAGCTGCCTAAACGAATACACTTTTAAATTCAATTAACTACATCCACGTTTCTTGTTAATGCGTTTTTGATCGATAACAAAAAATTTAAGAAGATTTAAAATTTAAAAACTGCAGTTTGACTTTATAATAATTTTTATTAAAGACATAAGTTTAAAATTAAATATTTTTGTATTTTTTAATTGCTTTCCAGTAACTTCCTCGTATTTGCTCAATGAACATTTAAATCGCATTGAAACCATTATTCCTAATTTTTTATGCTACCGTTTTAAAGTAATAAAAACTCAGAGACTGTGATAAAATATGAATTATATACTTCTACGTAGTACAAGTTTGGGACATAATATTTATTACTTATTTTATAATTTCCGAAAACAATAAAATTATATGTAATCGATAAAAAACACGGTAACAACCAATGAGAAATAAAGGAAAGGAACTGAGTTTCATAGTTACTGCTCGTAAAAAATTTATTTTATTAAAAACATTTTAAATTACTTTCTTTCAAATTAAAAGTATTTTATTGAACAGACAATCTCTTAAAAATGGATAGAAGATGTCTTATGAATTATATAATGGAAAATAATTTACTACAAAATGATGATTTACATGCAAAAATTTTGAGTTTTGTTTCCCAAAGCAATTTTGAAGAATATAATGATAACTTGTCAATTATTTCGAAATTCATTTACCAAGCTAAAAACAAGTGGAAAAAATCGAATAGAACAAGTGCAGTATTTGAAAAAAGATATAAAGTTTGCTTAAACCAAACAATATTTGACTGTAAAAAAAAAAAAAAATCGAAACAAAAACCTGTGGTATGTTTACTTTAACTATGTGTAAATTTATTATAATGTGTATAATTTATTCGTATTATTATTACGACGATTTAATAATTGATAAAATAATATTATACTTTAAGGTGGACGCCCTTCGATTTTGTTTGAAGATGCGTCTGTGAGAACTAAAGATCGCATAATTAAAGAGCTTTTGAGTAAATATAATTTAAACAAACTTTTATATGCAGCAAGTAAAAGTTTGAAAAGGGATAAAAGGTTTATAGAAGCAAAAGTGGTTAAAAAAATATACAACAAAGAATTATCGACAGAATCACTTACTTCAGAACAATCATTAGCGCTAGTCTTAGATGCTAATTTATTCAAAGAAACTTATCAGCATTTAAGAAACAATGCTCTTCCATTCAGCTCTCTATACCTATCCTATCATATTGTAAAAGAGGCTAAAAATGCTACCCTGAAAACATTCAGGTCAGTGACTACTCTGCAGAGGTTCCATTCTTTTTCATACTGCATTAAGAGTATGTTCAGCTTATAGTGTTGTGTTAAATTCACTTGTGCTTAAAGATTGTACTAAACTATTTATAATATACAAAGCTGGTTTGATGGTGCAACAGGACAATCTGTTTATAAACAACTGTCAGATGTTTCTAGTGAACTTCATACAGATGAATCACTTTTCATAACTTGCTTGGTTCCTCTAGAAATTTATTGTTTCAAAGATGACAAAAAACAGGTTGTTTGGAGAAATCCGAAACCATCGTCAACTAATTACTGCAGACCTCTGAGATTTAAATATAGAAAAGAATCAAATGAAGTAATTCTTGCAGAATATGAGTCAATTATGGCTTCTATTAAAGAGATAACATTATCTGTTGTACCTGTTTTATTGGAGGACGATAGGAAGTTGAAGTACAACATATTGTAAATTCAACAATGATAGATGGAAAAATTCAAACTATTATTTCCTCAGCAACCAACTCATACCAATGCTGTTCAGTGTGTGGTGCATCTCCAATCGAAATGAACAATTTATCTTTAGTTGTTCAAAAAAAAAACTTTAGAAGGCAATATAAAACATGGCGTTTCAACTTTGCATGCTTGGATAAGGTTTTTAGAATGTATGCTCCATATCTCTGATAAGATGCCGATTATGAAGTGGCAGGCTAGAAATCAAGACGAAAAAAATATTGTTAAACTGAGAAAGCTTGAAGTCTGTGCTGAATTTCGAACAAGGATAGGTCTTGTCATAGACCAACCGAGAATAGGTGGGGCAGGTACATCAAACGATGGCAACACAGCTAGGCGATTTTTTCAGCAATACGATGTCTCAGCTAGTATAATGAACATCAAAGTAGATCTTATGAAAAGGTTTCATATAATTCTGGCCACAATATCAAGTGGTTATGAAATTAACT